AGGTGGGAAGAGAAACTCCTGTAGAGAGGGGATCCCCACCAGGTAGAAGATAGGCGGAGAGGCTTTTGATCCATTGCAGGCTGTGGCATCCATGGCGGGACAGACCTACATGCTAGGGTGATAGGCGGCCAGAGCATCTGGGGATCAGAACAACCAGGGTTCAGAATGAGAAATCTGTAGAGTTCACTGAACAATTATTGCAATCCAAATCATTTATGACCAAGTTTAGGGGGCTGGTGGTACCATTCAATGTTGATTCTTCTATCTTAACCCATGATTCACTCCTTCCATCTCCCATCAATTATTTAGTAAGTTCCTACAATGTACAAGGCTGTAGAGGTATATAAGGCACTCAAGGCCCCTGTCTTTATAGGACTTAAATTCTAGTAAAATGATGGTATGTTTCAAAGCCAATCACACAGTTAATTATTTAGTTACAACTGATAAGTGCACTGAAAGAGCCTCTGCCCATTGTCTGCTCCCACACTATCTTTTGGACATCAGATTTTAGATGAGGTCTTAGGTCCCCACGTTACTGTATTTTCTTTCACTCTTGCTTAAAGTTCTACTAAGTGACATCACCAGGAAGGGCTGATTTTTCCAAGCGTTTCTGCAATAATCTACCATTCAGTCTACTCATGACTCAGGGAGTAGCTCCTCTCTCATTTTCCACATGCAGCAACTCTGCCTGCCTCTCTCTCTAGTGACTTCTCAGGGTGCCCTTTCACTCAGGTTTCAGTGATGAGAGGACACTGCTTTCTGTGGAACAACTCTCTTCATTTTGGAGCCCAAGCTGAAGGTAGATCTTCCCACCACTTGTGGCACAACCCAGCGAGTGTTCTGTTTAGTTCTTTTATGCCCACCCTGCCCTTGGCTCCTCTACTACCAACTCAGAAGCAGCCCCGAGGGGCTGTCTTGAAAACCATTGTTGCTAGAAAGGACCCAGAGACCTGAAGCTGTAGCTTCCCAGAGCCAAAGAATCCTATATCAGAGGTTGTTCACTAAATGTGTGAAGGCTACTCCAGGACTGCTGGACTTGAGCTGAGGCAATACTGGCCAGTTCTCACTTCAGGATGAACCTCTGATGAGTGGTCCAGGCAACTTCATATTTATACCTGCATCGCTGCTGTTTGAATCCCAGTGATTTCCACAAGCAGTTTCCCTTTGATTTATTGGAACTACATCTACTTTCTTTCCTTTCTAAAACAAATGCTAAACAACAACAGCAAACAAACAAAAAACTAACAACAACAAAAAAAACACCTCTCATGTTCTAGAATAATAGAATGTCAGAACTGGAAAAAAAATTTTTTTTTTTTGTAATCTACAGTTCCAACCCAATTTCTGCCACCCCTGTTCCCCACCACCTTTAATAATTTTTGTTGTTGTTGTTTTCTCTGTGATTGATTTGGATTGTGCAGCCTGGTTTCTAGATTTGGAAGGAGTGACTGGCAAATGCTTTGTCTAAAATGAGCACAACCATCCTGTGTGTGTGTTCCTTGAAAGAGAACTTCAGAGGTCCCCCACATGACCTGGGCAAGGGGGTGAACCCCACTGTCTCCATTTCAAACAGTTAACCCTCGGTTAATCAGAATCCCATTCTAACAAGTTCAGTCATGAGTTGTTTCTCACTCCTGAAGGGATGCAAATGATACTGCCCTGGACAT